ATATCAGAAAAGGGCTTCTAGGTGCTTTAAGACAGCTCCTTTCTTAATTTTGAATAAATTTTAATAGAAAATAATATAAAAACATATTTATATATTAAAATATTTATTTTTTTATTTAAAAATATCATAAAATAAACATTCAGTTGCTTTAAGACTGTCCTTTCTTAATATTGATAAATATATATTAAAATATGATTATTTTTCTTAAAAGTAATTTATAAAATTAAATTTATAAATAGGATTTTAATAGAAAAAAAATAAATAAATAAATAAATACTACTTATTATATATTTATATGACTAACTAATAATAACATAATAATTAAAGTAATAATTTAAACTTATTGAAATTGAAATAATAATAATAATATAAATTAAATTGCAATTAAATAGTGACTGAAATAAAAAAAATTAAAACTATAATATCATATTCATAAATAAAATAATAACAGAATTAATTAATGACTAAAATGAAATAAAATATAAATTAGCATACAAAAAATTGAAATAAAATAAAGAAATAACATTGGTGACCAAAATAAAAAAATGCGTAAACTAGAATGGTTTATGGGTGATTAACCCACTAATTTGTGATTTAAATAAAAAAATGCTTAAAGTACAGGGATTTTAGCGTGACTTACCCCGTAAATTAAACTAAACTCCTTAGTGACCAAAACGCAGGACGCAGAAAACATAGGAACTTAAACATAATTTAACCTTAAAAACAGTGATCGAAATGTAAAACACGGTATAAACTAGAGTGACTTAAAAGTAAATAACCCAAAACCTAAGCTATATATATATATATTTTTCTCTATTTGGCTAACCTAGCCACTCTTCTTCATCTTTTCTCTCAGAGAGAGAAGCTCAATCTTCTCCTTCTTCCTCTTTCATAACCGGCCGATGGCCATAAAACCCCCACACCTCGCCACCGGCCACCGTAAATCGGTGGCCAAATACTCTTTCAATCATCCCTTACACAAAACCCGAACCTAAAATTTATCCCTAAAAAATCTTAAATCCTGATTTGGGATTTAAACTACCAAAATCCAGGCCTAACAACTCAAGCTTTATTTCCCAATGCTTCAATCGACGTTTCTCCGGAAACCTAGACTCCGACGATGAACCCTTGGCACCGGTACAACTCACTCTTCTTTACTATTTTTTTTAATTTACTAACCTACTGTTTTTTTATTTCGAAAAAAATAAAATACAAATAAAAGTGAAATACAAATCTAAAAAATTAAAACCTTTGTTGTTTTCTGATTTTTTTTTCTTTGTATTGATGCTTAATCTCCTGTTTTTTTTTTTACAATCTCTGTGTGTCCTCCCTCCCCTTTACACTGTAATTTTTATGGGTTATATATTAACCCATTTACATGCTTAAAACAAAAGTAATGATTGTTGTTTGTTTGGTGGTAAGCTGTAGGAGGGACAGCTGGGTTACTTGCTGAAACGTGGAGGGACAGCTGGTTTAGTGGAAGCTGTTGGAGAGCTGTTGTGGTGGAGGGGATGCTATCGTTGGTTGCTGAAAGGTGCTGGAAATGCACGTGGAGGGGCTGCTGTCGTTGGTTGCTGGATAGGGAAGGTAAAAATGGTGATTACACACCTTGGCTATGATTCGATGCACCCCACGCTCCCACCAGATTTTTAAATGATAATTACACAATAACGACTCTATTGACTTCACCAATGATCCCCAACGTTCAGAAGTGATTCAAGGTGTATTTAAACAAGCTTAGGAGCCATTGATCAACAACAATTAAGAAGATAAGCTAGAAAATCAAAGAGAAAGCATCAAACCTCAAGTTTGAGCATTTCAAGCCAAATTTTCATTCAATATTCATTTTGCTTTAAGAACACTTATTGTGCTCAATTGTATTCATTTTTTAGTGTTCTTTCTTTGTTCTAGAATTGTGCAAACATATTGCCTTGTGAGGTTTTCTTGTAAGTTTGCAAATTTGTGTATTTCTCTTTGGGAGAGAGTGTTCTCAAAAATTTGGGGTATAATTCTTGAGAGAGTTGTAAGGTTACTCTTTGTCCTCAAAAGAAAGAACTCATTAGTGAATTTGTTAGAAAATCCTTAGTGTGGATAACTAAGGTAGTGGACGTAGACTTTGGTTGAGAAAGTCGAACCACTCTAAATCGCTGTGCAAATATTTTAATTTTCTGCAAAAGCTTCCACCAAAATTTTTATTTCCAATTCACCCCCTCTTGGCTATTTCGTCGATCGATTAACTCAACATTAGTATTTTTAAGTTTTGACTATTGGATTTTCTACGTGATTTACTACTAAACTAATTAGTGTTTAAATTATACATTATTTTATGATTAATTACTCATTGATTAGATAATTTTAGTTGCTAACTTGGGCCTTTTCATTCATTTTCGATGCAGGACGTTGAATTCTAGAAATTATGCTGAGAACAACGAAATCGTGCAATTTTTTTTTATTTTTCTGGATTCATGGTCGTATTAGTGGGCACGACTTAGGACATGACACACCTGATATGACATCTAGTCAGTGGATGACGTAGGAGTTGACGTGTTGATGACATGGTATCTAACGTAGTGATGACATGGCGGTTAATATGGCAGGTGATGTGGCACTTAGTCAACAACTTCTAGAAGGCCCAATCAGTAGTTTTTAGAATATCCAATCAGCAGTGGCATGGGGAAGGAGACTTAGCTGAATTTTTTATTTATCTTATTTTTATTTTTAGGAATTATCTTTAGGAATTATCTTTTGTTTTGAATATTATTTTCTAGGGTTTTGAAGACTATAAATACCCTATTGGGGTAAGCGTCAATGCAATTCAACTCATGACTTGAGCATTTAATCATTTTAGACTCTCTTGTTTATTTTTTTTCTTTAGATTTATAAAAGTTTTTTCTTTTCTTTTATTTTAATTTCAAGTTACTTTATTTTTTTTCTTTCAAAATGCTAAGTATGGTTTCTACCATGCTTAGTTAAGTTTTCTATAGCCAAGGGCTAGCTAAAGCAATGAGTCGATTCTAAGTCGTGAATATCGAAAAGTGCTTCATACCCTCAAGGGTTACATTTTCAGTTTTCCGGAATCAAGGATTGGTAATCGACCATCCTTTTATAATCAAGGTGATTTCATTTCAAAAGTGCACGTTGGAATTGAATTCCGATTTCGATTAACAATTGGGAGAAAGGATCGGCCTGTGACACATTCGACATCCTATGAACACACTTAGCGGGGGTCTGCTAAGGGAAACTGAAATCGGGCTAGATTCTCAATTGAGATGATAAAATCCGAGTCGGGTTTTTCCATATTTTTAAAGCATTGAATTAGTAAGCGATTGACGCTATTAACTCACAAAGAACCGAGATCTAAAGATATATTTTAGATTCTCTACTCATTTGAGAGAAAAACAAGTTATAGGTGTTGGGGCCTATAGAATGTAACCGGCGTGAGCTCGAAGGTAAAATCCTATTCAATGATCAATTTAAATCGAGGCAAAAGCTTTAGCCCAAGGTTGATTTCTACCAATTGAATTTTACCATTTTATTTTATTGCAATCAATTTTATTACTTCGCTCCAATTCTCCAAAATCTCTCCTCTAATGTTTTTTTACAAATCTCGCCTGAAGCCAGATCAAAAGTGAGGAAATCGTCAAATTCTTAGTCCTTGTGGATCGACCCTTACTCTCACTTTTCTACTCATTCTTATTCATTTTATTGGGATTAAGGCTATTTATTTTGACATCATAATTACGCGTGTCATACACTCAACATTTTTCTTGTATTATTTAGATTCATTTTGTGATTGTACATTTCATATCATCTCATTGTATTAATTTTGTACAATTTTTAATTCCATTTCTTTAATTAAAAGAGTGATTGAATTGTTTAATATTCGATGAATCCATTTTGTAATCTTATTATTTAGATTCATTTCATACTCAAAATCATTTATTTGAGAGTTGTGAATATTGCTATACTTCTATTTTCTTGTATCATACCGTCTCATATGCATGTACTTGAGTTATTTTAAGCTCTCGGTTGCAGCAGGAAAATTTGCCTGCACTTCGAAAGAACTTACTCTCAGCATTTATGCATCTTGCTAAATTTCAAGGAAAATTTCATCGACTGGAAATTTCCCTAATGTCTTGCTTTATATTTTATTTCTAAGGATTGAGATATTTTATTCTTTATTCATATGGTTCATATCCAGGGTTGTTTTTTTTTTCAATAATGCCATCTTAAATATCTAATTTTAAATTCAAAGTAAAATTATGCAAATTTTGAAAATAATTAATTTTTAAGAAGGGTCGAAAGTGCCATTTTTATTTAATTAATGGGTTAAATAATTTAAATTAAAACTTCAATATTAGGAGGGATTAAACATGAAATTATCTCGTTAATCAAGGATTAAAGTGCCTTTCTTTCTTTAGTTTCATGCCTACTTAGTGAGAACCAAATCAATACTTGGTGGTTTCTGTAATATTTATACTTTGCTCAACTGAATTTCTATTTTCTTTTCTCTTCTACCATGCTTATGGAAAAGATTAAAAGAACAGGGACCAAGTTTTATAATTTATATTCTTTTTCTTCTTACTTCCTATACTTTTTATTATTTATCTCCCTCTAATTTTAATGTACTTGAATTTTTTTATTATTATGTAATTAAAAATAATACACACATATAATGGTAAGAATATAAGTATTTATATATATTTTTAAATAATTTTGAGTGATTATTTATAATGTATATATATCTTGTAAACCCAAACGACTTAAGCCTATTTATTTTATAGAAAAATACCAGTCTTTGAATATAATGAGGTGAATATTTTTATAAAACTTGAGGGATAAAGTGAGTATTTTTAAAAGATAAAGAGTGAGTGGAATTTACATGGGTTTGTTAGCTTTTTGGTTATTTAATTTTACTAATTTAGGTCAGCCGTAAAAGCAGAGGCACAACTATAAAAGCAGGATTTGGGACAAAGATCCTCTCCCCGTACTCACACAACTTCCCCAACTACTAGACATGCTTCAATCTACACTGTTATAAAACAGCTTCCAAAAACAAAAGAAAAACTTTCTCCTCCTCCTTAAATGGCTTCCTCCCAACACTCCCACCCGTTCCACTGGCACTACGCCGAGCTCGAAGACCATCACCTCCAAATCCGTGGCCGAACCCTCTTCATCATCGTCCTCCTCGTCCTCATCACCCTTATTGTCGCCCTCGTCTTCGTTTACGCCCGATGGGCATGCAGAAGATTCAATCTTAACGCGCCGTCCCCGACTTCCCACGCGCTTCCAGATCCTCAGCCGCGAGGGCTCGACCCTGCTGCCATCAATTCCTTGCCGGTAACTATGTTCACGCTCGAGATGGCGGTTCAGACCGAGTGCTGTATCTGCCTTGGAGTGTTCGAAGATGGGGAGAAAGTTAAGGTTTTGCCGCCCTGTAACCATTCGTATCATCCCGAGTGTGTTGATCAGTGGCTCAGCAGTGAGTCGAGTTGCCCGCTTTGTAGAGCTTCACTCCGAGTTGAGTCTGATCAGCTTCAAGTTGTTGTAACTCAATAACAACAGCGACCAAAGAGATTAAATTAATACCTTTTTGTCCTAATTTGTATTTGTAAAGGACGCCGGTCCTTGTTGTAAAGCATCTATTCACAGTAATTGTTGTGTTCCTAGTGCTCGATGAATTTGCTCAGTGAATTATTTGTTTTTCCTTAAGAAGTAAACGAATATGTTCATTTGTTGAGTGAATAAATAAAATTCTTTCTTATTTGCTCTGAAACTTATTTGAATATTTCTGAATTATATCTGTTTTTCTATATTGGTATTTATCTTTTCTTTTATTTCGATATCTAAATTATTATTTTTGTCTATTTATATTTAACAATTTTGTTAATCAATATATTACTAATGGATAAAGTACGTATTTAGTACTTGAACTATAATTTTTTATTCGTTTTAGTATCTAAATTTTTATTTATTTAAATCATACTTAACATTTAGTTTTTATTTCATTTTAGTACCCGTCATTAAAAACTTAAGGTATTTAGTACCTAAACTATCAATTTTGATTCGTTTTATTACATAAACTTTCAATATGTTAAGTTTTTAATATGAGTACTAAAATGAAACAAAAACTAAATTTTAGGCATAATTTTTTAAAAAAATCGATATTAAAACGGATCAAAACTGATAGTTTAAGTATTAAACGCATAGTTTATCTATTTTTAATGAATAAAAACTAAAAAAATATAAATTCAAAAGGTGATGGATTGTACATAAATTGTTGACATTGGAAATGAACACAAGACGTAAAAAAAGAGCACAATGTCTTTGTTGGGTAGTTCAAACATCTATGGGACAGGTACATGTCTTATCTTATTATTAATTGATCAAGTATTCAACAAATAGAGGAGACTGCTTCCTTTTCTTTTTTTCATTTTTTCAACAAAGAGAGGGAGACCATTGAAGTTAAGTGGAGTTCTGATTTGGCAATCTTAAAATATTCAACTTTTTAAAACTTTGTTTTACTAAAGTAGTACCAAAACTTTGCCTTTAATCACACAATCAACTCAAATTAATTTTTTAGTCATTTAATGAGTATTTGATTAATTTAAGATACCAAATTTAATCTAACAATTAATACAAATAATTTATAGTTTTATTCATTAAATTTATGGTATATTGATAAAAAAAATATTATTTTAATCTCAATCAACATTGATTTCGATATTTGATATTCTTATTCTTTCTTTTTCTCCTTTTAAAAGAATAATTGATAAAATAAAAATGGTATGAAAATGACTACCACACTTGAAACTTGAGAAGCACTTTACTGCGTGTATAAAATAAAAATAATAATGTAACACTTAACCATTAAGCAATACTTTTAACACACGTGGGAGATGTTCTAAATTCAGGAAATGAAAATCCTATACACCCCATTAAAATTTGTCCCCTCTTCATAGACAAGAAATTTGTGGTGATTGTTTTGATTTTCAAGTCTTTTTTGAACAATTAATTTATGATTGGGCATGTTAAGTGTCTATGATACATTGGGCATCTCAAATGTATTGTTGGTTTTGCAATATTTTAAATATTTTTAGATAAACTATGTGGATAGTTATTTTATTTTTTGTCTGACTTATTTTGATAACTAATTTTTCTTTTAAAAAGAATAACATGTTTTTTTCTTCTTGTAACAAGGGCCAACAACAAAACCTCTATTAACTCGGCCCTTTGAACAAAAAGCATGGTTTATGTAAAAATTGAATTTATAAGAGAAAAATATTTTTTAGACTAAATTGAATTTATTCGAAGTTTTCATCAAAATAATTCAAAGTCCAATCAAAACCTTAAAATAAGTATTTTGACCATAAGTTTCAAAACTTCTACAAGAGTTTCGAAATTTTTCAAGACAGTTTCCCAAAAAATTTCGATACTTTTTAAGAGTTTCAAAACTTTTCAAATATTGACTTTGGGAAAATCGATTACTAAAGTGAAACTTTTCAAAAAGTTTCTTCTTGTAACCTGTTTTTGCACTAACTGCGATTGTCATAGTTGGTTCAATCAAAAGTTGGATTTTCAAAGATTGACTTTGGGAAAATCGGTTACTAAAGTGAAAAGCAAGTTACAAGGATAATGTCTTGTAGACTGTAACCGGCTTGAATCCCGAAGTGAAAATCCATTTTCGATGATAAGAAACGATTTGAGTCAAAGCGAGGCTTGAGGCTACTTTTTATCATATTTTCAACTCTATGTTTTCTATTTTCTTTATTTTCACTTTAAATTACTTTTTCTTATTTAATCATTTTTATCAAAACTCCCCCCACCCCATTTTATTTACTGCATATCGTCTGGTCAAAGCAATTCAAACTAAAATGAGAATTTTTGAAGTATCTGTGGATCGACCCTTATTTCTCTTTACAACATATTTCTCTCTTATATATTATTAAGAATTAGGAATTTATTTTGACATCAAAACGACAGTTGTCACTCATCCACAACATGATGCCAATATCAACATGTTAGATCAACATAGTTTGAGTGTAGGTTAATGGTCGGACGGTTGATTTCTGGAAAAACACGTGGTTTCTTCTCAGGGTGACTGGAAGTGGGAAGAATTCATTGATTGGCTCCCAGAGTATACACTGCCGTTTTTTTGTAGTAGTAAAGCCTCACTTGTCACACTGGAGAGGATCGGCCCGGATGGTTGTGGGAGAAGAGTAGGAAGTTTACACTCTCCAGTGCCTATAAAAATTGAGTAAACCCGGGCGTGTTAACCTCTTCTAGTAAACTTTGCAAGCTCCTTTAGAGGTTAAACGATCTAGTGCGAGTGTGTGTCTTCTTATGGTTGGCTTGCACTTCCTATGGTTGGCTTGCAAAAGTTGGTTATTAACAAATGAGTGAGCGAGACGCCATATGACGAACGATACGAGCTTTTTATTGTGTGGTGCATCAAATGAGATTATTGCACATGTGCTTCGAGATTGTATGGAGGCTCGTGCCATCTGGACAGAACTTATTTATCCTGATAGAATGGAACATTTCTTGAGCATGGATATTGCAGATTGGTTCCTTTTCAACTTACAACAACCATCTTATTTTCTCATTCATACTACTGAAGGGGCGTAACTGTTTGGAACTATTCTATGGAGCCTTTGAAGGCGCAGGAATCAACGTATATTTGAGCCTAAGGTTCTGATGGTTGAGTGTCATCGGTCAGTGTCGTCGTTTAGCTTGGGAGGCGGAAGAAGCCCGGAAACTTGCTCTCCCAAGAAACTGAGAAGCTGCGAAAATATGTCGAGAGGTTAAATGGGAACCCCTGCCTGTTGACTGGTACAATATAAATACTGATGGTGATCATAATTTAATTACATGTCAGTAGGTTTGTGGAGGGGTGGTCCGGGATAGTGAGGGTCGATGGATTGGGGGCTTTGCAAAGGTGATAGGTGTTTGTTCTGCCCTCGAAGCAGAGATCAGGGGTGTTTTGCAAGGTCTTGCATTGGCCTGGGATTTGGGTCTAAGATCAGTGATACTGGAAATTGACAGCAGAGATACTTGACTACTTCTCAATCAAGGGCGATGCCCGGAAGTGTTGTCATCTCTTACGCCTCACATTGATGAACTTCTTCGGTGAGATTGGAATATACGAATTACCCATGTGGTTCGGGAGAGGAATGAAACTACAGACTACATGGCGAGGATTGCTTGTTCATTGCCTTCTGGTTTACAGTTATATTGTACCCCGACATTTGAAGTGTCCATTTGAAGTGTTTTCCTTGATTCAAGCTGAAGCTTGTAGCTTAACTTAGTTATTCTGGTTCTATTTTCATTCAAAAAAATTAAAAATTAAAATATATTAAATAAAAATAATTAAAATAAAATACATAGATTAAATTTATAATATACACACAATACAAAAATTAATAAAATAAATTAGCTTTTTTAATATCATACAAAAATTAAGGGCAAACTATGCAAATAGTCCCCTTTATTTTCGGTACTGACTTTGGTCACCAATTTAAAAAATAAAGGTAAATGGTTCCTAACATTATCGGTCCGTTCGGTTTAAGTCCCTAACATTATCGGTTCGTCTGGTTTAAGTCCCTAACGTTATCCATCCATCCTATTTGAATTCTTCCGTCGTTAACTTTCGTTAACCCCTCAACGAAAGTATTAAACGAAAATTAAAAATTCAAAAATTCAAAACCCATATGTCTTCTTCTTCTTGAATGTTATTTAAATATATAAATTTGTTTAAATCTCAAACTAAAAACGAGTGTTACATTTTTTTGAACTAATCACTGGTATCCGATCTATTGACCGACTAATTCAGATCGGATACTGCAGAGGCAAAGGTGATCCTCCCAACCCAGTTTGCTCCATTTGTAAACACCATGATTTGAATCCCTGAACTTACTTAACGGACCCAGTGCCGACCAATTGATTGTTGGTAGTGTTACATATCTTTTAAATCTCAATGAAAAAAGTAAGGTCCAGGGTTTTGGGATCAAGTAATGAATGAAACTGAAGCAAGTACAAAGTCTGAATTTATTTTCCCCTCTCTTCTAGGGATGGCAAAACGGTACAATTTCGTGAATTCTGCACCGTACCCGCTCCAATTGGGGCAGAGATGGGTATAATTTTAATGGGTAGTGGGCGGGTGTGGATTTAGAAATGGGTACCCGTCGCGGGTAGTGGGAGGGTGATGGGTTTGAGACCTTACCAGCCCCGCATCCGCCCGCCCACTAAATATCCATTAAATTTTGGATCATTATGAATTTAGGTATAATTTTATAGACTAATTTATAAATCTTAATATTGTATAAGATATAACTTATAATTTAACCAATTATTAGGGATAAGTTTATGAATCAATTTTTTTCTTTCAAACCTCTCGTGCTTTGTTTGTTGGTTACTACGCTGATATTCTGGTAGTTCTTCTTCTCTAAGTTTCAAACTCTGGTCTCCAGCTCATTCAGGTACGCCTTCTTCCTCTTCTTTACTCTGGTCTCCTCTGCGGGTAGTAGAGTTGTATGTCACCTTATACACAGATCCAAAACCACCTTCCCCAATCTTGTTTGCTGCATCGAAACAACTGTGGCCGCTTTAATTTGTCATAAGGTGAATACTACAGTTTTAAGATCTAACCTCTTAGTTCTGTTCAAGATACAAGACCAATAGTCAATACTCCGTTATTTTGATTTTGATATTCTGCTGAATCTAAGAGCATTCGTATATTGATTTTGATTTTTATGAAACATGTTA